GAAGCTGCGGTTAACCGCAGCTTAATTGACAATGCTTAGAGGTCTTTGTTCGTTTGCCGAACACGTGGCGGCGGCCATCTTTGATCATTCGACGAGGTCAGCGGTATGTGTAGCCAAATTCATGGAACTAAAATCGGCTACACATTTCCATGAACACCGCTGAGCTCTACCTTCTCCCCTACTGGTTTTACAGCTGCAGAGACTAAGTCCCATTCGGCGATGGGACTTAGTCATTTTTTCAGCCTGAAATAGACCGACCGCACAGCCCAAATCTATGGAACTGTTTTGGGCAGGAAAATGTGCTTGCGGTCGGTCATTAAGGGGCCTCCAGCTAACTTTTAACCCCTGGATGGATTTGGCTGATTTTTGGTTATGTTTATGTTTTAAGTGTGTTGATTCCAAATATGTAATTGTTATGAAGATTGGATGTGTAGTTTTAAAGTTACAGTGTATGGATAAAAAACTTTATTTTTACTGCCTGTGTTTAATTATGTTAACCCATTGTGTACCATAATTAGATCACAGGCAGAGGGGAGGATTCTTGTGGGTAATTGCTGGGAGTGTTTCTGGAATGTACGTTTATGATTGGTTTTTGTGTAAAACCCTGTGGGTGGTCCTATCTCAGGGAAACCTGCATAAAAGAAGGTTCTTTGTGTGCCAATAAACAGAATGACTTGACCCTCTAACTTGCATCCTTGACTCATGTTTGTAGGGGACAGCTATAATCACTACAGGGATTGCTATGCTCTTCATACTCCCTTAGCTACTGAGCTCTTGTAAGAGGTCTTGTTCCTGATCATGCTTCGCTCTACAGAAGGAAGAGGTTCACCTACTGGAACCTGGAGCCTGGTCGTAGGTCCAGGGCGGATAGCAGACGGCGAGATCCTAGCCCAGCAGCGGTGGTTCGTTGAGTCTGCAGTACTTATGGTGTCTACGCAGTACTTATGGTGTCTACGGTGCTGATGGTCCTTTGGTGAGCGCTAGGAGCATCCTTTCTACGGTCCAACTTTCAGCCAGCCTGGAGGCAACCGTAACACACCTGTCCTAGGGATCCCTGATACACACTGACACAGAGCAGAATAGAGACTGTTCACCCTACATCGGGTCACTTGGCAGATATGGATTGACTGTTCCCCCTACATACACACTATTGGATCTCGCAAAACTTACCAAGGATCTAAATCATGTTCCCATATCGTACATGAAAAACCTACTCATACAAAATCTCTTCCCAAACGTCATTTCGTTCAAAGTGGAGAGAATGTTAAAAAAATATATTTTTGTTCTGAGTGTGAGAAATGCATTTCAGCCGCTTCTAATCTTAAGCATCATTTGAGGAGCCATACAGGAGAGAAACCTTATTTGTGGTATGTTTAGTATTGTTCTGATCAGTTTAATACCTTTCGCGTCTCCTATCAGTGGACGTGTATATGGCAGCCATTTTAGGAACCGCACACCTGGGACCCGAGCAAGGTCACCTCGTTCAACAGGCGACAACATTTGTCCCTGGAAAACTATCCTGGACATCCTGTACAATTTGTATGGATATGGCAGTGATTTCTGTAACAGGGAGATGGAAGAAGATGTTTGGTCGGTCCTCTTAATTCAAATTTGGGGCACTGCGCGGTCAAGCTAATGTGCCACCAGATAGGAGTGGTGTGTTTAGTATTTTTCTGATCAGTTTAATACCTTCCGCGTCTCCTATCAGTGGACGTGTATATGGCAGCCATTTTAGGAACCGTACACCTGGGACCCAAGCAAGGTCACCTTGTTCAACAGGCTTGCAGCGTATCCTCCAGGAAGAAGAGCCTGAACCCTTACCGGCTGCACGTGTCTTACCTGTACATGGAAAGCTGCTCTGGTTCCTTGTAGAAGCCAGCTGCACGTGAGTTAACATGTCCCGTGGAGAAGCAGTCTGTCCTGTAAAGCCTCACCAAAAAAAAGGAGTGGTGTGTTTAGTACTATTTTTATCAGTTTTATACCTTCCGCGTCTCCTATCAGTGGACTTGTATATGGCAGTGATTTCTGTAACAGGGAGATGGAAGAAGATGCTTGGTTGGTCCTCTTACTTCAAATTTGGGGCACTGTGCGGTCAAGCTAATGTGCCACCAGATAGGAGTGGTGTGTTTAGTACTATTTTTATCAGTTTAATACCTTCCGCGTCTCCTATCAGTGGACGTGTATATGGCAGTGATTTCTGTAACAGGGAGATGGAAGAAGATGATTGGTCGGTCCTCTTACTTCAAATTTGGGGTACTGCGCGGTCAAGCTAATGTGCCACCAGATAGGAGTGGTGTGTTTAGTACTATTTTTTTCAGTTTAATACCTTCCGCGTCTCCTATCACTGGACGTGTATATGGCAGTGATTTCTGTAACAGGGAGATGGAAGAAGATGCTTGGTCGGTTCTCTTACTTCAAATTTGGGGCACTGCGCGGTCAAGCTAATGTGCCACCAGATAGGAGTGGTGTGTTTAGTACTATTTTTATCAGTTTAATACCTTCCGCTCTAACAGTGGACGGTATATGGCAGTGATTTCTGTACAGGGAGATGTAGCTTAAAGATGCTATCGGGTCCTCTCTTACTAAAATTTAAAGTTTCGCCTTTTTAAAGCTTTTCCCCTGTCTCTTGCTAGCGTGGTCGTAGGAGTGAGGAGATGACTTCCCCTTGTTGACCCCTCCTGCTGTGCTGTGACATCACCCTTATACGCTGTGTAAAGTATACTTTTTAATTTATTTTGCAAATGCTGCATCCTTTCCGACTTGTAATTCGGTCACATTTCCACCACTGTCTGCTTATACCGGGGGTCTAGTAGCGTGGACACCCAGCACAGGTCGTTCTCCTTCAGCCTTTTTATACGAGGGTCCCTCAACAGGCACGACAGCATGAAAGACCTCATTTGCACAAGGTTGGATGCCGAGCTACTCATTTCCCGTTCCTCCTCCTCACTGATGTCAATGAAGGTATTTTCTTCCCCCCAGCCACGTACAACACCACAGGTACCAGATAGGTGACAACGAGCACCCTGGGATGCCTGTTGGGGTTGGTCTTGCTCCTCCTCTTCCTCCTCCTCAAAGCCACATTCCTCCTCTGACTCCTCTTCCTCACAATCCTCTTCCAGCGTTGCCGCAGGTCCAGCAAGCGATGCTGATAAGGCTGTTTCTGGAGGTGATGGTGACCACAACTCTTCCTCTTCCTCTTCACGCTCATCTACGCCTGATCCAGCACTCTTCGCAGGGCACGCTCCAGGAAGAAAACAAATGGTATGATGTCACTGATGGTGCCTTCGGTGCGACTGACTAAATTTGTCACCTCCTCAAAGGACGCATGAGCCTACAGGCATTGCGCATGAGCGTCCAGTAACGTGGCAAAAAAATTCCCAGCTCCCCAGAGGCTGTCCTAGCACCCCGGTCATACAAATATTCATTAACGGCTTTTTCTTGCTGGAGCAGGCGGTCGAACATTAGGAGTGTTGAATTCCAACGTGTCGGGCTGTCGCAAATCAAGCGCCTCACTGGCATGTTGCTTCGCCGCTGGATATCGGCAAAGTGAGCCATGGCCGTGTAGGAACGCCTGAAATGGCCACACACCTTCCTGGCCTGCTTCAGGACGTCCTGTAAGCCTATGTTCTTATGCACAAAGCGTTGTACGATCAGATTACACACATGTGCCATGCACGGCACATGTGACAACTTGCCCAACTTCAATGCCGCTAACAAATTTGTTCCAAGAAAGCAAAACCACTTTGCCGATATCCAGTCGCTGCGGAGTCAGCCACTTTTCCACCTGTGCGTTCATGGCGGACAGGAGTGCTTGTCCGGTGTGACTCTCTGCTTTCAAGCAAGTCAAACTCAAGACGGCGTGACACTGCCGTATCCGGGATGTGGAATAGTACCTGGGGAGCTGGGGGTGTGCCGCTGATGTGGAGCAAGACGCAGCAGCAGAAGAGGACTCAGCCGAGGAGGTTATGGAAGAGGATGGAGTAGGAGGAGTAGAGGAGGTGGCAGCAGGACTGCCTGCAAGTCGCGGCGGTGTCACCAACTCCTCTGCAGAGCCATGCATTCCATGCTTGGCAGCCGTCAGCAGGTTTACCCAATGCGCAGTGTAGGTGATATACCTGCCCTGACCATGCTTTGCGACCAGGTATCAGTGGTCAGATGGACCCTTGCCCAAACACTGTGTGCCAGACATGCCATTACTTCCTTTTGCACAATCGAGTACAGGTTGGGGATTGCCTTTTGTGCAAAGAAATTTCGGCCGGGTACCTTCCACTGCGGTGTCCCAATAGCTACAAATTTTTGGAACGCCTCAGACTCCACCATACAGTTTGTAAGTGGTGCTTGGCGTGGCTAATAGTTCGGATGCTTTCAAAGTAGTCAGGACGCTGGGCAAGGTGACTTCTGACATTGTCTCTTTACCAAACATGTCCTTTTTACTACATACGACTGTGGAAGAGATGAGCCGTGAACTGCACAAGGCGGGAGGCGAGTGGGCGGATGGCTGAGAGGGACAAGTGAGAAATGCGCAGTGCTGACGCGGCTGGAAGATGCTGGACCAGGAGTGAGGCTGGCGGCTTAGAGTAGGCGAAGCTGTTTGTACCTCCGCCGTGTTGATCCTATGTATGCTTTGCATGTGAGATCATGTGCTCAATGCCAGCCAGCGTTGTACCTAGGTGGGTGTTGGACTTCCCACGACTCAGTTTCTTTTGGCACAGGTTGCAAATGGCATCGCTGTTGTCAGAGGCAGACACACAAAAAAAATTCCACACTGCTGAGCTCTGCAATGACGGCATTCTGGTGGTGGACACAACATGCGTTGATTGGCGTGCTGTCGGGCTGACCCCGGGTGTCGATGCATGCTGTCTGACTGTGCCACTAGCTCCTTGCGACGACCTCCCCCTGCTTCCAACTCGTCTCCTCCTCCTCCCTGTCTCCCCATCTGAACTTTCGGCCTGTTCTTCTTCTTGACGAGCGGGCACCCACGTGACATCCATGGACGCATCGTCATCATCAACCGCTTCACTTGTATCTGACAACTCAGCAAAGGAAGCAGCAGCGGGTACAACATCACCATCATCATCACACCGTACGTCCATGTGTGTAATGCTGCCTGCCTGAGACATATCCCTGTTATCTACATCCTCTGGCAATAATGGTTGCGCATCACTCATTTCTTCAAACGGATGTGTGAATAACTCCTCTGACATACCAACTGAAACGGCTGTGGTGCTAGTTTTGGTGGTGGCGGCAGGCGGGTGAGTGGTATCTTGAGAGGTGCCTGAAGCCAAGCTGGAGGAGGATGGTGCGTCAAGGTT